ATCCTCAAGGCAGAGTCCCAGAGACATCCTAAATCTCACACAGGCTGAGTTGTGCTTAATCCATTTCTGCAGACACAGCTCATGTACAAATGGGCCAAGCCGAAAATCTGTAGCGAGGACCTTGAGGGGGCGGTGAAGCTGCCTGCCTCTGGTGTGAAGACCAGCTGCCCACCCTGCAACCCAGGCTTCTTCAAAACCAGCAACAGCACCTGCCAGCCCTGCCCATACGGTTCCTACTCCAATGGCTCAGGTAACCGCCTCACCACCCCACTCCCTGCAGCACACCCATCCCCACATCGACTGTGCGGGTGGGCTGCGTGGGCACTCAGAGTGGCCAGTTGAATGCAGACCCCGCCCTTCCAAGGGAGGCAGTAAGGACCAGGCCACCTCTGAGGACTAAATTCAGAAGAGAGGTCAGGGCTGGCCTCGTCTGCAGGTCAGAGTCAGACTTGAGGCTGCCTTCCTTCCTCCTCACTCCAACTGCAAATGTGACTCAGGCCTGAAAGTGCCCAATCCTCAAAGCAGAGCTTCCAGCATATGGCAGAGATGCTGACTAGAAGCCTTAAGGGGCTGGGATGACCAGCTCGACACAACCAAAACCTATAAGCCATGCTGCCTTGGGGTGATTGTGTACCTGTTAATATGAATGTATTTAATGATAATATGACAATAATATGAATTACATGTATCAGACTAGAGATACAGTTAAGGTTTGAAATGAAAATTGGGGTGGGCAAATAGGATGGTTGGCATATTGGAATGAAGGCTCAGTGTTTACATCTTGAGTTAGTTAAATACATTGTCAGAATGTTTTTGAGTCCACTTGGTACAACTTCCTGCAGCGGTACTTAGCAGCCAGGCTTGTGGGCTGCCCACGACTGTTGCCACTTGTCTGTGTGGCAGCAGCTCCAGTCAAAGTGACTGCAGCCTTCCCGCTGAATGCATGGATCTTGTGGTTTCCCAGATTGTACCCACTGCCCTGCGGGGACTGAACCTGCTGTGGGATTTGAATACAAATGGTGGAACACGCTGCCCACAAACATGGAAACGACCGTTCTCAGTGGGATCAACTTCGAGTACAAGGGCATGACAGGTAATTGCCTCTCCCTGTGCCATGAGCTGTCAGCTCCCTGCACACCCTCAGTTCTTCCAACTTCACATTTCTTCATAATAGTGATGTCTGAGAAAAATAAGCTAACTATGTCATGCATTCCCTTGAAAGTTCCATTCCTCATGGACATATGTTCTGCCAGGACGGCTTTAGAGGAAGGAACAGAGCTAGAAACATGAGCATGCACTTCAAAGGTCTTGCTCTGAGAGCTTCAGGGTCTTTGACCAAAGTGGCAGGATAAGTAACATGGTTCATGTTCAGTGGTGGTTCTGGGCACCTCAAAAGATGGTGTCAAACCTTTCTTCCAGAGTGTCGTCTGGGTGCACATTTGCTTTGCACCCAAGAGCACAAGGCATTAACTCTTCCCTTTCCTTTTCAGGCTGGGAGGTGGCTGGTGATCACATTTACACAGTTGCTGGAGCCTCAGACAATGACTTCATGATTCTCACTCTGGTTGTGCCAGGATTTAGGTGAGGAATCCAAAGCACAGGGGAGTCCAGGCCAGCGTGGCCATATCCGATTCCCACGTATTTTGGAATCTTGTAGAGGAGAGGCCTTCTGGGGTTGTGTTTCATTTCATTTCAAATGTCAGTTGAGAACAGAGGGCACAGTCATATTTGACCAATGTAACCAAATGCTAATACGTTTTTCAAGTTGCTGTCCGTGTTGATTTACCAACTGCTCTCTCATCCCGTATAGCTTCTCCCTCCATTAGCCACATGCTATTCCAATTTTTTCACCACACAGCATCACTTAAGATTAGAAAAAATAAAATAAAAATAAAAAATAATATGGTCAGAAATGTCCATAGCCAGTTCATCTTTATTTGGGGCAAGAAGATTGGGAAGGACTGTTCTTATTATATTTGTCCCCATATCCCAGAAAGACGTAGGGAAACAGGAAAATTTGTTTCCCACTAAACAAACACACAAACACACCTCCTGGCAGTGTGGTGTGGTGGAAGGAACACTGGACTGGAAGACAGGGCACTTGTGCTTTGCCGTTTACTGGCTGTGCGACCTTGGGAAAAGTCACTTCACCTGTTCAGGCTTCGGGACCCTCATCCATAAAACCAGTGTGTGATTTAGGACTCACTGAGGTTGAGATGGTTTTTCTAGCCCACTGGTTAACACAACTGCGTAGACATAAGCTGAGAACTGGAGGTCCTCAGAATTCAGGAAATGGCTAAAGCCAAAAGGAAAGCCGTGAATGAATTTCCAAGGCCAAAGTGAACTCTTCTGCCCATATGTGCTTTAAGATAAGGGGCAGCCACTGAATGTGCTTCCCCAGTGCCAATCTGACGCCTTCACTCCCTCCTTCGAGGTCCCTGCTTCCCATCCCTGGGATGGTGCTCAGTTTGCCTTCCCTTAACATACATTACTCAGAGCTGGCCAGATAAAGCCTGTGTTTGGAAGGCGAGCAAACTTTTTAGGCTTTTTTGGAATAGCACTCAAAAAGTACTTTCCAATTTGCAAATCTCATCATCACAGTAAAGTGCTGCCTCATCCCCATTACCACCCCAGTCTGCCTGGGCATGGCTCTCTCTTTCCAAAGGAGGACCAAACTGAGGACTTTGCTGGATCACAAATTCCGCTCCTTTAACCCCGGCAAATCTCCCCAGTGCTGGAGAGAGAGCTGCTGAGCAAATGTCGACAATTTACAGTCTTAGGATAGAAGTGCTTCTCAAACTTAAATGTGCGCACGAATCACCTGGGAATCTATTAACATGCAGATTCCGATTCACTGGCCTGGGAGGAGCCTGAGGTTCGGCAGTTCTAATAAACTCGGGGAGATGGCCGAGCTGCTGGTCTGTAGACCATATTCTGCTAGTGAGGTGATACAGCATTTTTAAAGGACCACCACATCTGTCATGCATTCAGGTCTCCCTGCAATGATGGCAGGTAGGTGAGAAAGATATTTCATCACCTCTATTTCACAGATGAGGAAACTGTGGTTTGGCTAGGTCAAGGTCACATAGCTAGGAGGGCACAATTGGATTTAGTCCACACACTTTCCATCATACTCAGAACCTTAACCCTGTCCCCCAGCAGACCCTCTGCTGTTGTCTGGGCTCTTCAGTAAGCACTGCCTGGCCTCTAGAACTGACTTTTAATTTCTGCCCCTATAGACCTCCGCAGTCGGTGATGGCAGACACAGAGAATAAAGAGGTGGCCAGAATCACATTTGTCTTTGAGACCCTCTGTTCTGTGAACTGTGAGCTCTACTTCATGGTGGTACGTTTTTCCTTTCTTTGCCCGCTAGAGGGCCTCCAGGGGAGGGTTACCCCGTCTGCCCCATTGGTGTGTCCACGT